GAGGGAAAACCTTAGTATATTGCTTATGTACGACTAGGACATAATACACACCTGGCGAGGAGGGAAAACCTTAGAGATCAAAGATAAGGTTGTTCCCATGCCTCGCCATCACTCTATATACTGATCCGAGGCGTACAAACTCGGAGTGCGTACAAACAAAGCCGGAACGATGACAAACATACAGGGTGTACAAAGCGAGACGAGTCCGAGGTAAGAACAATGAGACCGAGGCGAGAAACGACAAAGGCAAGTGTCCCGAGCTCGGCCAAGCTCGGAGAGGGATTTCCGAGGCTCGGAAAATGAGTTGCCCTTACATGTAGGTGAACTTCCAGCCCATGCAAGTGTTGCTCCGGGAACTTCCATATTCAAACTTGCATTAGGGCCTTGAAACACCATAACTTGCTCAAATTTGCTTTGCTTTTCATGCTATTTATGCCATTTGAAAGCTACAAGTAATGTCTTCCACATTACAATATTTTCAGAAGATTAATGCACATTTGGCCAATCAATTAGCAAAATACATGGTGTATGACCATTTTGTACAGATTGCTGAACTAAAATTCAGCATCATACCTAAACACAGCTGAGACTAGCACATTGGGCTCAAATTCACCTAGTCTAGATTATCCAACAGCTTGAACAATGTCAAACTCCGCCACAGAGGCACTGCACAAGGGAGGTTTTGGTTTATTAATCAAAAAGGATCCATAAGAAACTCAAAGGCCCACCAATTCCATCAAGATTTTGTACATAGGTGAGCCACCCACAGCTGCACCCAGGCACCATGTTGTACATACTCAGAAAGCCTGAGCAACTGGAGAGTATTGTAAGGGCAACGTTGGATTTCCAGGACTCCCCGGGGCAGTTCAGCGCACCCCAGGTATTCCCCGGTTCACTCGATGCTTTGGGGCATCGGACGTGTTCGGGTTTTGACCCCCGGGCCCTCGCAACACATGCGTGATGATGCTGACGCGCTCCCTTGATGAGTCCGGACCTTCCGTGCGACCGGGCTGTGCACCCGACGCTTGATGCGCCGGCCCCGACTTGTCTCCCGCCTCTCATTCTCCCCACTGTCATTCCCTGCTTCGTATTCTTCCCCCTAGTATTGTACTTGTATTATTTCCATTCCCCTGCGCTTCCCTCACTCTCATTCATCTTCCCTTGCATTCCCTACTCATCTACTCCTTGTGTGTTGTTGTTGTGTCATCGATGACCGCATTCCCCATTTGTCCGGTTGAGTAGTTTAGCAACGCGACCCTGCGGGTCGCCTCTCTGTCACATATAGTCGATCCCCTGGCGTCGGGCAGTCCTCAGTTTGCTCTCTTGGGACCCCCCTTCGCCAGGTATGTTGTATTTCCATAGCCCGATATGTTATTTGACTTTGGACCCCCCTTCGCCAGCGCTCTGAGCAGATCCCTTGCGAGGTTGCCCTTACAAGTATAGATAAACAAACCAGTGCAGAACAAATCACCTTCATTTACACAACAGTGCGGAAAGTTCAGCTTTGCACACCTAAACAGTTTGAAAGTACTCCTCAGTAGATTCCCAACACATCCAAGAACTTGCAAATCGATTCAGGAGATCTGTTAATATGGTCCAGACAATGTGGGACCTAATTTGTACATACACATAATGGTAAATATTCTGTAGAATATTTGAATGTTGATTATTTCAAACAAAACTTGGAGTATATTTTGGGAAAGTAGCTAACTAGATATGTACATATCTTTTTGCCTATCTCTCGCAAGAAAATACCATCAAGATGTTGTGGTAATCTTGATGTCTCTCTCTCTCAATCTCTTAACTATTTCTTTGGGAAGTAGCTGGCCTTGCACACAGTACCAGTTGATAGCTCCTACCATAGATTCTCCCACACTATGGCTGTGCAGTCTCAAAGCAGAGGAGAGGAATAAAGAAAAGAAAGGAGGGAATGGCACATCAGAATGTGCAACTATAAAATAAAGGTAAACCATACACACTAGCAAAAGAAAGGGAAAGTTTAAAGCAGCAAATCAGTGTTAGCCACACATGGTGCTGGCCCACTCAAGATCAGTTGGGCAGGCAGGGAGTTTGTTGCTGAAGTTCTCAATGGTAATTCTAAAAATGCAGTCTCACAAACTCTTGGCTAGCGTCAGTTTAACAATCCCTTACAAATCAGAAGTTTTCAATGTGCAATGGCTCATCATACTGTTGATAAAAAGTATCCAAAATGGATTGAAAGTGTACAATCAACAACAAGGATCTGGCTGAGCCACAGATCACTGTGTTGTATCTAAGTACAGCAGAACCAATGTGGAACAGAAGAGCAAAAAGAATGCCATGAACCTGGATTGAACAGGTGACCTTTAGAAATTATCTATGTACTTCAGTCTACTGCTCTCCCAACTGAGCTATCACAGCTTGAAAATTGGTTCAATATAATGCATTATGAGTGCTTGCAATTGATTTGAGTAGTTGCATTGAGGAACATATTGTTTGATTGTTTTACATTCCATATGTTGCTAAACTCTTACTGGAAGGCTCTGAGAGTCCAGTGATGTCTTTTTTGTACTTATTAATATTTACCAATAATAAGCAAGGTAGCAGGGCCAAACCAGGATTCTTGTACGCAAGGTAGGCTTTCATCGTATTGCACAAACACTTAATTGTGCAACAACCCTGTTTTCCAGTATGCAATCTACCACTGCTCATTTCTTGGCTTGCTATAGAAATTCAAGAATTTGCGGTGGAGGATTGGGGGGGTCTGTGAGCTGAATCCCTCACATAGTGGAGGGTGGTGTGACTGCAGTGAGCAAGTGGGCCAACAGCCCATGCAGGCAAACAAAGGGCACCCACCTGAAACGAAGCGCTCATCTTTTGTATTTATTTAGTGAATGATAAAATGTAAAAGTTCAAAAGGCAGAGTGTATGTGCATGCATGCTCTTTTGCTTTACATGATCATGTGTGAACACTGTGAAGTCACAATTTTTATCCACGACTTGCAAATGATTTCAAACTACACTGCAGAACTTGTCTGATAGATAATAAATGTATCTTCGCAAATGTGCATAAGCAAATGAGATTTGATTGAATTAATCTCTGTATTTTCTCTCTGTAGTCAAGTCAAAGCTGAATTTATGCATGGAAAGATAAGGCAAGCACATTACAAAGAAGATTTTATGCCAAGTCATACTAACACCTAAGGCTCCCACACTCTGACGATAATATACGACGACGGACCGGTGATCCGCTGTCCACTATTATCGGAGAGCGAGCTCGATAGCTCTCGTTTTTTACCTCTGAGGCCACGCAAGTCACGCAGGGACCCTCGGCAATGGCCCGCAGGGTCCGCCGCCGTTCCTCCGCAACATCAACCACGCTCCGCGCCATCACCGTCGTCCTCCCACGTCGTCAACAGGCCCCGACGTCGTCTCCCGCCCTCCCGCTCGCTGTCCCGCCCGCCGCCTCGCTGTAGGGCCTTTCCCTGCCCCAAAACAACCCGGACAAAAGGGTACCTAGGGGTTTTCAGGTATGTAGATTCCATTTCTGGCATCAGATTGACGTGTTTCGGTACAGGGTATTGCTGTACTGTAGCACCATATGTGCTACAGTTGTTTGGCCTATAACTCGGCTGCTTCTGGGTCGTTTGGGACCATTCAAGGTGAATTCTGTAGCTATTGATGAGTACTAACGAAGCGAACAGGTACGCGCTCACGAAAAGAGCGCGGGGAGGGTGGGGAAGGCATGCAACATGCCATGTTGAACCGCCTTCCGGCATTCATCCTCGCCCCCCTGTACCTCACAAACGCAGCGCTCAGGATGGGGTATACAAGTTACGTATTTCTTGAAAGTTTCATCCAAATCGGCTGACAATTGATTATCTGACAGATTTATTTCGATTAAATCTCCAAGGGGGTACCCTTGGAGCCTTTCCGCCAACCGGCTTGCTCCTACGGAGCGCTGAGCTCGCAATGAGTCCTCCAGGTAAGTTTAGGATCTATCATACCTCACAACACCGTCTTATAATGGTCATTAAACCAGGCTGTAGTCGATTTTTTGTTCAAGACCAAACAATGTACCAGATAAAGGGTACTGCTGCATGTACAAAGCAGTCGGGGCACTATTCGACTATGATTACGTGCCATAGGGGTACATGTGAGTAAACGTACCTCTTTTTACGCTATTCTATGGGCGAGAAATCATGTTGCAGAATTTCTTCTATTTTAATAGCAGAGTTCTAGTCATTTTGCAATAGAGGTGTCGGATCGTATCCGATCTTAACTAAACACTTTTAGCTTACTTCTACACGTCAATGCCTTTCTAATGATGTATTATACATGCAAATCTGTGCAGTCGAAAATAAGATAATGATTTGTTTCTCTTTTTTGCGTGGACACGATCGTCTCGAAGGACACTTCGGCAACTTCCGGAGCACCTCGGGCACGCACTCCGAGAGGTGTTCGAAGGCTCCTCACAATCCAACGCATGCACCGATGGCTAGGCACAATGTTTTATATGCTTGAAGGACACTAATTGCGTCTATATGCAAAAATCCTTCGCACCCCAGTGACCATGTTCTAGCACAGGAGAGGAATCAAGTGGAATTACATAGTGAAACAGTATACACCTCCGTGTATCATTTTTCAGATATTCCACAAGCATCCCCTCGTTGTCAAAGTTGGTGTGTAGATCTATATACTAGTAATGTATTGAATGTAGCTATCGCACTTGAGATTTATTGAGATAGAACCGAAGAGGATTGTGTCGAGCTGAGAGGCGGTCGAGTTTCAATATGCAGCTTTGAGCTTCGCATTCAAGCTCGCTAAGATTTCTCGCCGTACCAGCTACTCCATACATTGTACATGAATCGTATCATGTGAGGAATGTGTGCCCCACTATGCATCTAAAGTTTGAGAGCGATCGAAGCGACGCAGAATATTTAAAAAACAGAATACAGATGGGGTGTCTGTTTCACTATGTAATTTCACTTGTTCCTTCCATAGAACGCTTATCTGGATGTCCGTGGGCTTGTAAATTTTTTCACGCACACCTTGATATGTTAAAAGCAGACCCTACGGCTGTGCCTGGCCTCAAATGTTGTTGGAGGATTGCGAGAGCAAGACGAGTGCACCTCGGGGTGTATGTCCGAGGTGCATCGGACATTGCCGGCGTGGCTTTCGAGGTGATCGTGTCCACACGAAAATACGAACATATTCTATACGATATTCAATTTTGCACCGTGTTACACCTAAAGTACATCGTTCGAAAGATACAGTAGAGAAGCATAGTATACAGGAATAATAAGCGCAAACGAGAAAGAAATGGTGTTTCTTCGATCCAAATACTCAGAGTACTCTGTTGAATCACAATTAATTATGAACTACAATCGTTTCAGCCTGTATTTGCACAGAAATTGGTGTAGACACTTACTAGAGTATACAGTATACGTATAGCTGGTATTGATCGAGTGAGACGGGTTGTACGGGGTAGCAGGGGTGATTGTGTTGGCCTAATATCACACCATAATGAAATTGAACTGTAAAGTGCATCATTGACGGTCAGAATCGACTCAATGATAAGGGATTTAGTAGAAGGACATACTGTAAGACTTACCAGATCGTTCAATACTGAGCAGCAGCCTTCTGACAACTGAGAGGCCTCTAAGGGGGCCCCCTTTGAGTTTTAATCGAAATAAATCGGTCAGATAATCAAGTGTCTGCCGTTTTCGATGAAACTTTCGGAGACAACGCACCTAGTACACGTCCTCCCAAGCTCTGCGTCGCTGGTATGTAGGAGGGGTGGGATGAGGCCCGAAGGGGCGTTCAACATGGGAGGTTGCTTCCCCTCCCCGACTTTCCCGCGCTGTTTTCGTGAGCGCACATCTATTCGCTTCGTTAGCACTTATGAAAGGCTACAGAACGCACCTCGTTTGGCCGAAAACGGCCTCGGAATGACCGAGATATAAGGCATGTACCTGCAGTACCATATGTGCTGCGGTACGGCAATAACCTGTATTGAAACACGTGAGTTTGAGTCCAGAAAAAGAATCTACATACCTGAAAACCCCTAGGGGCGTCTTTATCCGGGCAGTTTTGGTGCGGGACAGAGCCCTACAGCGAAGCGGCGGGCGGGAACAGCGAGCGGGAGGGCGGGAGACGACGTCGGGGCCTGTTGATGACGTGGGAGGACGATGGCGGTGGCGCAGAGCGTGGTTGATGTTGTGGAGGAACGGCGGCGGACCCTGCGGGCCATTGCCGAGGGTCCCTGCGTGACTTGCGTGGCCTCAGAGGTAAAAAAACGAGAGCTATCGAGCTCGCTCTCCGCGTCCCAGAGGAACCACCGAAACCGTCGATAATAGCGGACAGCGGATCACCGGTCCGTCGACCTATATTATCAACAGAGTGTGGGAGCCTTAGGTGATACTAAGGGAGTCATCTTAGCATCATTAGCTACTCCAACTCATAAATAATTTGATTCCTACAAATAGGTATAGAGTATTAAAGAAATCTCAGAAAATTCTTGTGATCGACAAGGTGCCTACATGTACCAATTACAACCCTTAAAGCAGCAAAAGGTCAGCAAGACATTTTTGAGCGCTCCAGTAAATCAGGTAGTACCACCAAAACCATGGTAATCTTGCAATTGAACTAGCACAATAGACTCTTCTGTAGACTTGTAACACAGTCCAGGCTGATGTTTTTAGATGTCTGCTTGCAAAGATGTGGCACCAGCCAGACTGGAATTTACCAAAGGTTCCCGGCAGAAGGACAACTGGGCTTAAAATTCTTGTGGGTTTTTTGCATGTCGAGCACACTTTTTGCTTAGTCAATGCTATTTCAGAGTTGACTCTGCCTTCTGTCTTCAACATTCCATTTCTTGTAAAATTTTTTTGTGATGTCTCAGTTTTGATCAAGTTGATATTAAAAATCCAGGTGTAGTAAAGTGTCTCCTGAGAAACAGAAATCTCATTTTGTTCACCGATGAATTGAAATACTACATGTAGATACTTCATAGACACCTCACAAATTGTCATAAATTTGGACTTTTATATACAGTAGCGTGCAAAAGTAACCGGACACTGGACACCGGTGTACTTTTGGCTTTCCTCCGCCATATCCTGTCCGTTTTTTGTAATTATTTTTATTCTGTATCAAAAAACATACATTCCACTACGCACACAGAAATTTTCAGAGAGATTCATTTTGATTTGAGGTTTCTAGAGCGAATTCTTCGAAAACCGGGGTGTCCGGATACTTTTGCTCGTGGGAACTGACCCCCGGTGCAGCTGCAACTGCAGCACAACGCAGCTGTTTTGGCCAGTTTTGCTTCTTGGAATATGAAGATATATATGTTAGCTATAGAATCATACAGCATATAGCCTTGCATCTTAAGTACCTGAATTGTGACAGTAGATTCATCA